TACTTTGCCAAAGGTGGCTCAAAAATGTCTTCCCTAGTCTGTCTATCCTAACTATATCCCTTCCCGCCTTTTCAACCCACCTCCTATGCCCCAGTACAGCTACCGTCCTTTCCTCTCTATTCCATGCCTCAAACATCTCCCTGTACGTTCCATCTATTTTTCCCAGCTCAGTCACGTACACTTCCCACACCGGGGGGGGCGGCTTGTTTTACAACGTCGTTGCCAAGCGCTGAAAACCCAACCCCGATGGCAAACACCGGGAGGATGGGGTGAATCGAAGAAAATGCGACCAAACCAGCAAATAGGGTAGTTGGCGTATCGGGGGGGGGAGGGACGGCAACAATGGTAACGGAGCGAGGCGCCTCAGTTTAGTGGTGCCTTGATCGGGGGACTCGACGGCCGCTTTCGACGCCACTACTGCTGTCAGCAGAGCAATACCTTACCGTCACTGGCAACAAGTGTGAACACTGAAGTCAGACGAATCAACAGGAGAACACCACCACCAACAACAACAAAAACAATATCATTTCCGTTCCCTCCGTCCACACCGCCTCACCATCTCCATCTCTGGGATGCTGTAAGGCATGGTGCGGATGATGAGCATGCGGTCCAGCAGGTCAACAGGAACGCCGTGGGGAGCGAGAACATCCGTGCCGCGGATCGTGCACACGCCGCGGTTCGTCGCGAAGATAACGATGGGGCTGAGGCTCGACTCCAGCGCTCTGAACACACGGAGAAGGAACATAGAAACGAAAGGCTCGGGTATCAAGCAAAGGTAATATCGGTCCGCGAAAAGCAATGAAGGCGAGGTGGAGAAGAAGTCATTTTGGTCGGAGCGCCACTTCTTGGAGAAAAGAGCAGCATATGCCATGTCAATTGTACCCCCTTCGGCCGTGAGACGGAGATGTCGGAGATGTCGGAGATGTCGGAGATGTCAGAACCCTCTCAAGTACTACCACGATGTGCGCACTCGAAACAAACAACCAACCAATCCAAATTTCAAATGGATATTTACTGACGATATGTCGCAGGCCTTGGAAGTATGTGATGATACGCGTGTGGTTCGGAATCGGCGATTTCCGCAAGCACCTCCACAAATCTCCGAAAAAAAAACTAAATATAAGAAAATCGAGACTGGAACTCCTATTCTACTCAAGAAGGCAAACAATAGCGGCCGGTCGGCCGCGAATTCACTACCCACCTGTTGAGGTACGTGAAGCACTCGATGTCCAGCATGTGCACCTCGTCCACGAACAGCACGCCCGGCACCAGCTCCGCCACCCCCTGGTCGATATATCGGTTCACCACCTGCAGTAGTACACGGCAGCAACAGTCGACGAATAACCTAGACGCCGAATTCTGGATGGTAGGGGTTGTGAGCCAAACGTGCTCAAGTTTGTCAAGCGCCTGTTGCTGCTGCTGCTGTTGTTGTTGTTGTTGTTGTTGCTGCTGCTGCTGCTGCTGCTGCTGCTGCTGCTGCTGCTGTTGTTCTTGTCTCGACATTTCAAAACCGTTCCGAACTCTCCGCTGAGTACTTCATCTGTCCGTACTAGCCTAACACTTGACGCGGCCGATTCACGTAGCCACAGCGCTGGGACGAAGTAAAATACCCGCACGAGACATCTGTCACACACCGTCAACAATCCCAAACACACGCACAGAGGTTTAAACTATGCAAATGGCCACGTAAGAAATCATAACAGTCATGAAGACAATGGAGTATGTGAAGGTTTACAATGCCACACTACACGATTGACTGCGAAAAAGTCTTGTACCCAAGACTGACGCCGCTTCGTTGGCCGGCCGGTCCAAATAACCGGGCGAGACTTCTACTTTCGGACCACAAGAGCCTACCACATCTTAGTGGCAAGGACCACCGACAACTTCACCGTAGGCATCCACGACACACCCTTCACTCACATGCTCAACAGCTGTGCACCTCAAGCACGCTTTGTCTGCGATGTACTGCTGTCCTACTCTCAGCCGTTGTTATCCCGAAAAAAAAACAAACATCACACTCGTGCAAAAACTGCAAGCCAGAGCCGCGAAACTATTTCCGCGTAAGCGGTAGAACCTTGGGGAAAAAAAAAAAA